GCCTTATGGTCGTGAAAATACGGTATATGCTTTAGAAGACTAAGTTATAGAAACCAAGTTATTTTTGAAAGAAATTTGATTTCATGTATGTTGAATAATTTCTGTACTGAGTTGGCCTAAGTTTTAGATTATTTTTTTGCTATCTTCTAAATATTTCAAAGTCTATCATGTTTTCAATGGGCACAAAGTGTGGGCTTCCTGCTCTTGAGATGGTCTGTCCCACAAAGTTTATTTTACTTACTTAGACATAAGTTGCTGCTGAACAGATACTGGATGCGTTGACAGCCCTGCAGTTCGTTCCCGCTGCCTTCACACGTGCACCACTGGGATACCTCTGTGCTGCTGTTGCTCACATAGTTGGGAGTCATGATTGTTCCTGAATAAAAAAAAACAACATATAAACAACATTTTCGCTTGACAAAGGTATTTTGTCATGCTAAATGTAAAAAAAAGGAAATCCTAAGTTTAAAGATTATATTAAATTTCTTGCATATGTAGGGTTGCCAAATTAATGATTTTCAATATTTATGACTGCAATTAGCCTTTATTGTTTTTTGTTTATTCAAAAGAAGGAGAAAAACATAAATTACATTTTTTTGCCAAGCTTCAAATGTTTTGCTTTCTGGACTTTATTAGATCCAATTTAGTTTCATCTCTTGAAATAACATTAAAAATATATATTGATCAAACATAAAAGCAAAAAACATAAAACTGATATGATTTCTTTAAGTTACTCTAAGCATTTTTCTCCGTAAATTTCCCTGTTTTACCTTCATGTGTGCTTTCATTTGTTTTTCACTGTCTCACCTATGAGTCCAGTATAAGCCTTGAGGCACATGGCTCTGCTTTCTCGCATACAGCCAGAGGCAGAGAGAGAGGAAGACTGGCAGTTATGTTGAAAATCTGCAAACCGGGATCTGAAACACACGCGCAAAAACACAACACAGAGTCAGTGAAGAAAATGGGTTTTCAGATCATCAGCACATTAAAACTGTATGCATTTTAAAACATTTTAAAAATTCTGTTTTGGCACTCAGTGCTGTTATAAATCAAAACATTTAAAGAAACAGCAGGAAGAGAAACGACTGCAAAGAAATGTGTTATTTTTATTCAGCATATCAGCATCAAGCACTTCTATATAAAAAAAACTACAGAGTAAATGTAAAAAGTGGATCTGAATTGCGATGTGTAAGGTATTTTTTAAACATTAAAATTATTACATAAAATTATTATAATTTGATATAATTAACATAATTATTTTATTGTGTAAAATGATCTAAAATGTTTTATTTACCATTTTTTATCAACCTTTTTGATCTTTAATTTTATAGAGGGTAACATTTTATTTTACACTCAGAAACCCAAATAATCCTGACCAGATACAGTATAAAATTTAAAACACAATTTTGAGTACCTTCTCTCGACCCCCTCTTTCTATTTCTATTAAAAGATTTTGTGTGTTTAAAAGATTGGAATCTCAAATCAAGAAAAAATAATCACCCACTGCTGAGTGTTAAGAGCACAACAGATCAGACAAAGTCAGTAGCTAGACCACAGATGCACTGGCAGTTGTTTACTGATTTATAGCATGTTAGAAATGCTTTTCTCTCCAACAATACTCAAATAACTTTTAGCCACTGTGGTGCTGAAACTGTAAATTCCAGTTTTAGTCCTGATGAAGGCCACTGGAAACAACGCACTTCCACAAAATGAAACAGTCTGGCTCGGTATTTTGGATTCTGATAGCAGACCACTTTAAAGCAACAGACTAGAAGCCATAGAGTTACTTGTATCTTATCCACACCTCTAAAGTAAACATTAGAGCACAAAAAATATACCTGATCAGGTGTCATATCTTTTTTGCTGGTTAACAACAACTATTAGCTTAGTTAACTCTCATGTTAAAGGGGATCTCAAAATGCCGTAAAGCTCAACTCTGGGCCACATGATACATTCATATACTATAGTCTAGTTCATAAACACTTATGAGCAGAATTTGATTTATGTGGAGAGAAAGCAACAGAAATGGACGGGTTACAATGACAACAGCTAAACAGAGCATTGCAACAATATCTGTGTTTGCAGATGCAAATTTGGTCAGCAGTGGTCTCTGCTACTTTGCATTCAAGAATGGGCTCACAGCCGGAAACTAATAGATAAATCCAGAAGGGTGATGATTTGTTAGATCTCCAAGTTACTGCTTCAGTTATTTCTTCTAAGTTTCAATTCCTTACAGGAGAAAACTTAATATAATTGTTCACTCGATAAACTCAAATCCATGCTGGATACTTTGCTAGTACTACTTCCAGCAGAGATGCTGTAATGACCAGGTCAGGTGTTCCACATATAACATCACCACACTATTGAAACTTCTGGCTGTCTTTGTGAGCATTCAATATGCATTTATTTTTGATGAATATAACAATAATATTACTTGCACGTTTTTAAATATAATTATTTTGTCTTTCTGCAACAGATTCATTGCAAAATACAAAATTAGTAGCTTGCTATTGACTTCATGACATTACCACTTTTTCAAAATACTTTCCCAACTTAAAATAAAGTATCAAGTATATTAATAGGTTATTAATGCAGAGCACAAAAAGGCATCTATTGCAGTTGAAGCATTTATCTGCATTGCTGTTGGACACAGTGATTTTCAATAACAAATCAGGCATCCAATTTTCAAACTAATACTAACCTAATGACCCAAAGGTTACACTGATGATAAAGTAATTAAAATAAGGTTGTCCTTTTAAACGGAAATTTATACGTAGACTGATGCCTCTTACATGGGTGGCATGAGTAAGTTTTCCATTGTCCCTAGTAATCCCTTTATTTACATATACTATATATATGTATACTATATATATATTTTTTTTTTCACAGTTCTATGCACTGCAATACAGATCATGAGTTGGATGCTGTCAGTAGGCGCCTGAAGATCCATATTAAAATCCATTGTGACTCACCATTCTATAGCGTTAACTTGATGTTAATAATTGCCTGATTATATAGATCAGATTATATAGATCATATAGATCTATATAGTCAAGATATTCATTTCTTGTAAATGTGGACTTACTTTAAGAACTGACATTGTGACGAGAAACGTTTTCTGTTTGGGCTTTAGAGATCTGAGATTTACCTCGTTATTATTAAAATAGAAAATAAATGTGGTAATCAATTTTTAGTTACCTTACATAAATCATGCAGTTTTAAAGAAACTGCAGGTTGATAAAAAAGTCAAACACTTTTTAGAGATTAAACCCCATATGGATTTATTTGTAGCTGGTCAGAGCTGTAAGGAAAGGGAGAACTAGATATGTGTTCTTATTGCTGCCCCCCATTGGACTAAAGGTCTCCACTTCATCACCCCTTCACTGCCTTCCCCAGTTGCACCAGATTTTAGTAAACTGTGATGGAGTAAAACAAAACAAAAAAAAGCTAAACAATAATTTACAGAAAAACAAAACTTTTTTTGGGGGGGGCTAACACATAAAATTGAACTACTGGCTGTGATATGAATGAATGTGAAACAGTTCAATACTTTTGCAAAGGGAGCACATAACAGGTTGGATTAACTAAACTAAAGAAGAATCTTTTTTTTACTGTGTTATGATCCTCTGGTGTTTAGATTTCAGTTGCTATTTGTATTTTGGTCACTTCTGAGTCTCATTTTATTATTTTTGCAAATGCCTTGCTCATATTAATTTCAATTCTCTCTCTTGCTGTTTTATAAAAAGGTTTACTAAAACCTTACTAGATCACCCTTCTGTATTTCATTTCTTTGTTTATTCGTGTGTTATGATCTTGGGGCATTTGAATTAACTTCTCTTGGATCTGTGTCTTCCCTGGGCTTGTAGTTTATTTCTGTCTAGCTCAGTTCCCTTTGGGTTAATTTTTTGCCATCCCTCAGTCTTACCTCCTTGCTCTCTCCCACAGCTTTTCCTAATTAACTAATCCATATTCAGTGTCATTCTAAACTCTTCCTGCTGTACATAAGCTCTCTGATTGACATTATTCTTGGCTGTTCCCTCCTGTTACTTTCTCAATGCTCTATATTCTGCTCAATGTCCTCAACATTTTCTGTTTTCATAAACAAAACCTCCATGATCATCCCAAGTTCTGTCTGCATTTGTTCCTTTTCCGCAATATAAAAAACATGAGCCTAGGGAGTCTATCAACGACGTATTAAAAAATACTGTATTTTTCCGGTTCTCTGACGGAATGTTTCACAACTTTTCTCATTGATTTGTTGAAACTCTTTGCTGCCTTGTGAAACAGAAAATCATATGAATTTTTTATATTAAAGGAATTTTGTTAGTAATAACGCACTAGCACAGCTCTATTATGAAGTACCAGTCTCAGGAAAACACCCTGTTCATTATTGTCCCCCTTAGTCATTTAGAAAATAGAGTAGGGTACATTTCACATAACATCAGCGAACTACACTTTTCTAGTTGCACTTGTCATAATTTTTTTAAATAAAATAAAAAAAAAAAAGCAAATAATCTCATGTTCCAGGATAGACTTTACAATGCACACCTCTGGGTTGAGCTGTGTGTGTTTAAGAGAAAACTAACAGTGCCAGATGAATCAGTAAGTCACATTCGAATGCATTTCCTTTCCTTAAAAAGCACCATGCTGCTCCAGAGTGATGGGAGAGTCTCTCTCAGGTGGAGTAGTTCAGTTGTCTCCCAGTATTATTCATGACTGATAGGAAAAGAGACCATGAAATTGACCGTGGGTTGGGTGCAGCTTCTGCTGTGGTGTGGCTGCTGTACCATGTCTAAGTGTTAGGAGAGATAGCTATGGCAGAAAGAAAAGCTTTTTATGTTCATGCATCCTGAGTCTCACTGATCAAGAGAGTGTGACCAAGTAGGCTACTGCACTACCCAAGAAGAGCTGAGAAGTTCTGCAGACCTAAAGGAAATTCTCAAGAGGTTTTGGTTTGGATGGTGCCCTGAAGCTGACCCTTTACTCACATGGAGACCACTGTTGCAGAAAACATGACCCTGAATTAAACTATAATGCCTTAGTATTCATACTATGTGCCTGACTTCACCTATTGCAACCAAGAAAAAAAAAACCTAATGTCACTCTAGCCCAGTGTCCACTATTTCCCTGGCCACAAATTGCCTTCATGTTTTTGTTCTATGAATGCTAATATTGTAAATTACCAGCAATCCAACAGCATCAAGCAGACCAAGTAAGGGATAAAGCTTGGAAGATGTCCATTCCATCCTCCTTAAACTAGTGATGGATTAGTTATCAGAGGAAATCAGAAAAGCAAGGCTGAAGATCACCATGCCGACCATTAAACACATCAGCTTCAGTATCATACAGTGGGGATTATGTTTAGATTTAATGTAAATACAGATAAATCCAAGGAAAAAAACTGGTAGAGACTGCAAATATGTTTAGACTAGAACCAGAGTGTGGTGTATTCACAGTCTAACCCAACAATTATCCTAAACAAACGCATTCACGTGTTGGAATGCCCCAGCCAGTCCATACCCAAATCTAAGGCCATTAAAATATTGTATCAGTACTTAAAAAACTATGCAAATACGTACCTATACCCAATGGTATAGTGAAGGATTTTCGTGATGTTTTTTAAAGACCCACCCTCTCCATTAAAAAAGAAAAAAAAAGAACATGAGCAGCCCTGTACTCACTCCCGAGAACGAACGCCTATTGAACATGCATGCGAGAGCATACACAAGTCCATTTCTCCTCGTGCACGCTATGTTTAAAAGTTCCTGTTTGCATCGCTCATACAAGCTTACTTTCCAAAAGAAAATTTGCATTTTTTCCACTATGTCAGACTCACCACCAGTAAGTGAAAATGGGGACGAGCACATAGGACAGGCTTACGTAAACACACCACCAGAATGATTGACAATTAGGAGGACCAGTTATTTTGGTGATCCACACTGAAAAAGAACATCCTGCACTACACCATTAGGAAAGGAAGTGATTCTACGTTGGAGAGCTCGTTTACAGGTGATGTTCAGGTACGTCTTTAAAGGCCCCATCACAGAGTGTACGGCACGGTCTTACCTACAAAGCTCATCTCTGGAGCAGTAATTCTGAAGACTGAGGCAGTTTGGTTTTCCAATTCTTTCCTCCCCTCTTGCGTTCTCCTCAAAAGAACATGACGGCACAATGGTTTTCCTCCGGCGCTCTCCACAGAGAGTGTCAGAGCAGGGGCAGAACAGTAGAGCAAAGCTATACTCCTCTGGCACACGCTCCAAGAAGCGCCGCAGGGCTTTGTGGCATTTCTGCCGGTTACAGCTGTTGTCAGTGGCTGTTGCTCGCTTGGTACAAGCTACTACATACTCTGACCGCAACGAGCCACATTTCTCATACAGGCCACAGTCCTGAGCAGCCTTCAGACACTGGTTCTGTCCATCCACAACAGCAGATGAAGCTAAATGGGGTAGAAAATGTGCTGATTATAATGAAATAAAAGCAATGACTTATTTTTTCTTGATTTTGTTTGTTCCAAAGAAATATGACATACTCTACCTGCCATAATGGAGGCCATACGTGATACTTCTATGTTCCTCACCAGGTTTAACTTCAGCTCTTCATATGGTGACACTTCATACTCATCATATGCTGAAATAAATGGCACCACAATATAAAACCACATGAATAAACCAATCCAATTCAAAGAGCATCCAAATACAAGCTTGTGTTTTATGCCCACCTGCAAATCTCACAGTCCAGTAAACCTTCAGGCAGTGCTCCTCTCTGCGAGAGCCCCGCTGACACTTGCAGACTTGAAGGGGGCGATAATGCTGCAGTGAGTTCTGGGCCTCCAGGCATTCCAGGCGGGCATCTGAGCTGAGGGGCGACACGGCCTCCTCCGCTGCACAGTACTCCAGCAGTCGATAGATGCTTTTGCAGGATGGCTCCTGGATGCAGCCCTGTTCTGCCACCAAACAGTCTAAGGATGCAGATACGGTAACACTTCCTGCAGAAGAGAAGGGACTGAGATTATGAATCACAAAGCTGCAAACAAGTTCATTATTTTAGCAACCTGTGGGTTCAAATGCAAGATAAGTAGAGTACTGGTTACTCAACTAGGGGGGAGAAAAAAAAAGATGAAAGAACAAATTTGTAGCAGTATAATTGAAGACTCAGACTAAACATATGGACACAGAAAAAGACTGAAAGGGATATTTTGGAATTTTTAAAGTGAGGTTTTTTATTGAACTGTTCAAGCAATAACTGTATTACCTGTTTAAGATTACCCTCTTGGCATCTTTATTTAATATAAACCCAAATTAGGTAGACCAGGAGGATTAAGCAAACCTAAGAGGGATCAAAACCATAGCAGACTTTCTTGTCTTGCTGTTAATGTAACCCCTAAAAGTTTATTTTTGTTATTATGTTACAGGAAGCGGTCAGTATCAGTACTTTCTGGAACTAAAGCATAAGCTGCTTCTTCATTTTTACTGCAACTTTATATTGTAGATGACTTTGTTTTAAATTGCTCAATAAACCACCTTCTATGGATGTTAATAAAAGTGTGTTTAAACAAGTAAAACTTGCTTCATTGGCTGTTTTGTAAACACCCTTTTCCTTGGAACCTTCATTCATACTGTGTTGATTGAAAAACTCAGCAGTCAGCAACTTGCATTGATCATCACTTATTTTAAGATATTTGAAAATGAGAGAAGCATACAAGTATTATACCTCAAGTCCAACCCAAATATATAATAGAGTCTGTAAATGTATGTTGCTGTAGGCAGCCATTCATATCCTGTACTTTTGTCCCTACCACCATGCCCCAACACACATGATTTAACAGATAACCTTTCAATATTTTATCAATGAACTTAAAATACAACAATCACTAAAAGCTGCCTAAATTATTTTGAAAAAAGATCAAGCACAATATGTACCCCAAAAAATGAAACAGAAATAATAGAAAGAGACTGGTGATTAATAATGGGAAATTTCTGAATCAAAGATTATGTGTAATATTGTCTTTTATTAACTAGTCAACACTTGTTAATATCTATCTTCATACTGTCCAGTCCTTTACTTACTAATATACACTCTATTTTGGTTTGAACCATTTTCTCTGGGACCAGCGCTGGTGTTATCATGCAACCCTTGTTCAGAGGCCTTGGTCCTCAATATAGAATCTCGAACCTGCAACGCTTGATCGGGACAGAGTTCCATCCATTATTGCATGTCTTCCCCCTTTCCTATTTCCATTTCATATCCGCCCACTTTCAAAAATAATAAAAGTCCACTAGAGCCTAAATAATCATCTTTTTCTCAATCATAATCTGAAGCTTTTGCTGTCAATTCCAAATAGTAAACATATTCCTATGTAAGCTACACTTTGATTTAAAAAGTACCCTACAGTGAGGTGAGTAAAAATAGGTTATATGTTTGAATAAACTAGATTAAAAGTCTAATTTAAGTCTCCTGCTCAGTTGGGAAGCATGTTTGTAATAATAGAGCAATTGTAATGTTCTTTAAAAGGGTTCATCATTTGCAGCCGTTTAGGTCATATTTTAGATATGTCTCTGCTTCCATGCCTAAATCAAATGGTTGAATTACCTCCTCAGCATGCTGACAAGTTCTCCAAAGACCTGCTAATGAACTGATTATTATACTCAGGTATGTTAAAGCAGAGACACATTTAAAAGGTGTAGGACACTGGAGCTCTAGAAGTAATTGAGGAACCCTTTTCTATAATATTACATATCAAGAAAAGCTTTTAGTCTCTAGAGTATGTGGTGCAAACAACAGTCAAGGGTAAGGAACTTATCAATAGCTGCATCTAAGCTGAGTAAGGTTGTTCATTCACTCATACCAGATTCCTTTTGGAAAACTCTGTACTGAATCATTTTTATGTTAGTTCAAGTAATAAGCTGCCAATTAGAACAAAAGTGTATGTAGAAGTTAGGAAGCAGCATGGTGAAGTTAATGATTAAATAAAATATTTGGTCTTACAAGAAGACAAAGAAATGAACACAGAAACAGGAAATAAACTGAGAACCCAATACCAACTGTAAAAAAAAAAGACAAATAGTGAGAAAAACAGGTGTAAGAAATATTCAAAATGAGGCGACACAGGTGAAGAGAATTCATTAATCAGCTGATGAGTCTGGCTGAAGGGGAAATGGGACAAACTGGGATGACATAAAATGATAAAACATATTCAATAATGTAGAGGGAATGATTAAAAAAGCAATTGCATAACGCACTAACAACACTAAGAAACAGAAATCACCTGCCAACATGAAAATGAGAAAAAGGTTCTATGGCGAACCATAAATGGTTAAAATAGCTTATGGCAAGACAAAAGGAACATTAAAGCATTGAAGAAAAGGTTAATATACAAGAACCAAAGCAAAACCATAATCCTACTGTTTTTTGCACATGATCTGTCTGATCCACAAAAAACGGCTTATTTTAGTCATGATGTCAGTTTCAATACATATTTCTTGTTTATAAGGTCCAGTAAAATGTAGGCTGTGTACATGGTTTACTGATAACAGATTCTATAAAAAACACCACTTGTAATTTGTAAAATTTTAACTGTGTTTTGGAAACTATAACATTTTAATTCCAAGTTCCCTGAACATATTGCCAACATATACCCTAAATCTTCCTAAAAGGTCACTGTATTCTAATGTACTAAACAGCATAGGAGAACTTCAGGGAGCCTTTAAGGCATTTCTTTTCTTTTTCAAATATGGATGAAAAGATGCTTGCAGGTCCCTTTTCTGTTTTTAAACCAATACTAATACCGGGTACATTACTTTTAAAGGGTATGAAAACGAGCAAGGTCTTAATAATTATAAGTATTTATTTCAGCATCTTTGACCCATATTTCCTCAGCTAGTATACACGCACATTTAAAAATGTCAACTGTAAAGCCACTAAACTGTAATGTCTCATTTCTGGCAATACAGTGTTAGAGCATATATTATTGTCCTGTATGATTTTTACTGTAAAAAAGAAAGTTGTTTTTACAGGCATTCATTTATCTGCATTTTCAAAATGCTGGATTACAGTTTCTGAAAACTTTACAAAGCACATTTTCAAGATTGATTTCTTTCTGGCTTCAGAGATGCAACAACATATTCAAGCCTTTATTATTTTGAGAGACCCGATTTTCATAGTTATTATGTTGAAAAGCCTCCTGAAGTCAGCTGCCCAGCAGATTTGCATTCATAAGCTTGGCATAAGTTTTGGCAAACAGACAACCAGCCAAAAAAAACAGAAAAGACAAATATGAACGTTATAATTTTCTGCCTCAAAAGCGACGCTGTTCAGCTGCCAACCATCAAATATTAAATGCCTCTAGATGTATAAACCCTCACAGAGAGGGTTGTTTTTCCCCTTAAAATTGCTTCTCTGTTTTGGAGAATAATAACATACTGAAAACTTTTCTTAAAAAGGAGAAGCTTACTTAACCAGTCCCTTTATTATCAGAACAAAACCTGTGGTGTAATTAAAAGCATTAGATGCCCAGGTGGGTTTTAAGAGGATGTATAAAAAAGTTTACTTCGCTTGTTATATTTGATATACTGGATCTTTTATTGTTAGAGACTAACAGCTAGGAGTAACAAATGCTGTGCAACAAAATAATTTATTTGGACTAAGCTTTTTACAAGCATCAGACACCTCCTCCAGATGCAACACCTCAGTGAAGATAAAAACACCTTTCTATTTAACAC